CGTCGTCGTCGTCGTCTCTCTCTCTCTCTCTCTCTCTCTCTCTCTCTCTCTCTCTCTCTCTCTCTCTCTCTCTCTCTCTCTCTCTCTCTCTCTCTCTCTCTGCTTTCTAATAAAGCAGTGTGTCATAAGAAAAGAAAGAAAGAAAAAAAGGGGGGGGGGATATAAGGGAAGAAAAAATGTACGAAGAAAAAGGCAATTTCCAAAATTGTTGTTCAAGAGAGAGCCACGGGGATCATCCGTTAATTGCCGTTCGAAGAAACGTGGTAAACGATCGTTCGAAGAAGCAGCAAAAAAATCCTTTCTTTCTCTCTCTCTCCTCCCTTGTATATGACAAATTAATTCAACTTTCGTGATATACCTCTCGAAGATGTTCTTTCCCAGGTTGATGCGAGTGAAAAAGCTGCGGTGCAGCTTCGCACGGGTTGTTGCACGCGATACTAATGTCCTCGTTACCGCGGTCGAAAAACTGTGTGTTTCTTCTTGATGGAGAACGGAGAGAGGAGAAGATCATCCCTCTAATCGACCTTGACATTTTTTTTATAAACGTAGAATATAGTAGAAAAATGGAGAGAGCAAAAGATGAATAGATGAATAGGATGAAAATTGTGAACAAAAGAAGAAAAAGTGTCGATTGACTTTCCAACGAATCGAATGCCGATTCAAAAATAGAAACAATCTTTTTATTTTTAATGGTGACATATATTTTGGCCTGATTTCGATGGCTGCGTCCAAAGGGGAGGGGGAGGGTTAAAATGGCGTTCCAAGTCTGCAAAAATTGCGTGTTTTACCAACCTTGGGTTGGCAAACTCGCGACGTCAAAGTGGTTAGAACACGGCAATTTTGCAGAACTTCTCGGGTCTTTAAATAGTTATGATCGAAGGAGCGGCAGGATGTCGGGGGAGGGAGAGGAGAGTGATAAGAGAATCGCGGCTGTAAAAAGATGCATCTCGAAGCCGTGGGTTTTCCAAGCCTGGAGACACGCTCTCATGCATCTTTAGAGCATAAAAAGAAGAAAAAAAAAGAAGGAAACCGGGAAAACTTTTCCATCCACCAACCCCCGCATCCTCTCCGCGACACGTTGTTCCCTCAATATTTCACTCCGTCTCGCTCCTTGCTGCTTCCTTGTTCTCGATAAAGATGTTAATGCTGAATTTCAATGGAATTCGATTGTTTCGAATTTTCACGATAAATCGGTGGTGGAAAAGTTGGAAGGCGAGCATTTATTTTTAGCAGTGGTAAATATTTTTCAGGGATAGATTTCTTTCTCCTTGTTAATGATTCAGTTGTAACGCTGTGTTTAGATCGATGAAGTATACGTGAAATTATTATTAAATATTAGAAATTGGAATTACGCTGTATTATAAAAGCTAGATGAACTTAGTTTTGGAAAAAATTAAAAATTAAATACTGATGTAACTAGGAATGCATGGCGTTAAAATAACCTAACTTTTAAATAATTACGCATAAATTTAGAATCTGTGATTTCTTAAATGTAAAAATGATACTTTTAGATTCTTTAGTTGAGTGTGAACTATTGGAAAATTCGCGCAAAAGAAAAAAGAAGTAAAAAAAATTTTTTTAATTCTACAAAATTAAATTAAATTAAATTATACATAACGTTCGTTGCACAGAATTGAAATTAAAGTCTAAGCTAATCTCTCTATCAAAGACAATCTGCTTTCGTTGAATTAAAAAAAAAATAATATATATATATATATATTATATGTGTGTATATAAATCCATTCCACGTTCTATGTGACTTCGATATTATACGAGAGATAGGGTTCATCGACATCACTTTAAACGTTCGTCTACCTTCATGAAATAAAAATTATTTCGAAATGGATGGAAAAAGATGGATTCCAAAGTCGTTTTCGAGGATATATAACTAGTTTTACTGAGTACGAGTCTATGGACATATCCATTATGGTATTCAAAGAGTGGAAAGGAATAAGAATATGGAAAACACGAGGCACGATCAGGTTATGTCTGGTGAAGGGACTTGAAGTATGCTTTGACACGAGAGACTGTCACACAATCTCCTCACTTGACTCTGACTGCCCATTCGCCGCTATATTGCCATGAAAACCAACAGGAATTCTCCTTAACCTTCGTCAGAGAGGTCGAAATCAACTTGGTCACCTTTAATCTCGTATTACTTCATAGCTAAGCAATGGAGATCATGGTGTACGAAAGGTGTCGTCTTTTGGCAATGAAGATATACCTTTGGTACGAAACGAGGTTAGGTTTCATTTATTAATAAACTAAACTTTCGAAATGAAAGTCTTCTCAAAACTGAAAAAAAGGAATCTTCAATTGGAATTGTCATATTTCATTTATCCATTGTTTGAAAATAATCTAATCAAACTTTGAAATAACCATAAGATACAAAGTTGGAATTATAAACGTTGGAAAGATAAACAATCTTAAAATATAATCAATATTCCGTAATACTAATTTTATCGTCGAATAAATGTTTAAAAAATTAAATTAAATTTCAACGTGTAGAATTACGTGTAGAACAAACAATCCGATACATTTAGGAAATATTCGATGATTTTTGAGAGAAAAAAAGAGAAAAACGAAACGAAACATAACAAAAAAAAAAAAAATATATATACCACTTCTGATTCTCTTGAAATTGACCGTGTGTGACCGTTGGTCGGTAACAATATCGACGGAAGTCGAATGAAAGCGCGGGAAATCGGTGGAAATACGAACCTGGTCTAGTTTATACGTACTCTCTTCCCACTGTAACGCTATCCAAAACGGTGTGCGATCGGATTGTCTCGAACGAGCATGACATAATTGTGAAAACGAGATGAACCAGCGTCGATCCAATTGCTGAAACAACACCGTGGTCGACGTACTCTCATATCACGTTGAAGTGGTAGCGAAGTCCGGTCTGTCAGCTTGAAACAAGAGCATCCAGCCATGGTTTGTGTTTATCTGAAACGTAATACGAGGGAGGGGATACTTTTGACAGTATTGTTATGCGATTGTGTATGTCCATATATATATAATTATATCGCACAGAGGTTAACTCTGAAGAAAAAGTTACGTGTGATAAGCAACGTTTGATCGTTGCACGTATAATATTTCTTTTGTGTTAACTCTTTCGAAACGAGTACGAGATATCTTACGATTGAGATGCCCTTCGTAGAGGAAACAAATTCAGATCGAAAAAAATTCTTCGAGATGTTAGTTTTTTTTTTTTTTCAAATTTATATCGAGATAAGTTTTTCTTTTTTTTTTTTTCATTCGAATTGAAGAAAAATTTTGAAAAAAGGGACTAATTCGGTTTTACTTCGTATATCTTTTCTTTATTCGCGAGATATTAAAATTTTAATGACTCGCCAGGGGAACGAAAAAAATATATTCTTATCTCGAAACGCTTTACAAATCTTCGCACAGTTTAAAACACGCGAGCATTCCAGGTGGCAGATAATTCCATACCGGTGCCATTCCATCGGATGAACGCGAGAAAATAATGTATTCGCGAGAGAAGAAGATTTCTTTTTTTTTTTAAAGATGAAAGAATATCCGTAATTTAACCGTAATTAATAGCGAAAAGGGAATTGTTATAATTGCACATTTGTATGCATAATTGTACTCCACCGTTTTATTAAACAGTGCGAACGTTAAGAAATGGCCAAATGGAAAAAACCCGCTCTTTGAAACCTGACTTTTCTCGACGAGTTTATATTAAACGGTATTCGAATGACATATTGGATTCTCTATTTCGTCTATTCGTACAAGGGAATTCGAGTCTTATTGATGTCCATTCTCTTTGTAATTCAAAAAAAGAAAGAAAGAAAGAAAGAAAAGCACATGCGACGAACGTTCAAATAATATACATGGAAAGTATATTAAATTTAATTTGATTAATTAGCATTCACCGCACGATACATAAACACGATAAAATCATTAAACCCAAGATCTGCAAATAAAATGAAAGCAATAATACAATTATCTGAGGCAAAGTTAAAATCGAACGTGTAACGAAATCACAGTCGACTGTTATAATTTCTAACCACGACATCCTTTTGATTAAATTATTGAAAAATAAATTAAATCCCGAAATATCGATTACATACACGAATCATTTCATTTTAACACGAAATGGGAATAGTGAGACGCGTTATGAGACTTGTTAAATAAATTATCAGAGAACTATTTATTTAGAATAGTAGAAACGAGGTCAGCGAGATTTCACAGTCCAAAAGATAAAAAACAAAAATATAGAATTAAATTTTTTTCATTCTCTAATAAAACGAAGTTTGAACGTTTTTCGAGGGAAAGAGTTAATTCTTGATTGGATTCTCTACTTGTATACGTGAAAATAAGGAAAAAATATAGAATAAAATTTAAAATTTTGAAAAAATCATCAATATGTAGGAACATATGTAGGATCAAGAAATCGAAATATAATCGATGAATTTTTCCATCCAAAAAAAAAAAAAAAGTATATTCTCTACGCTTTTTCCTTATTTTCACATTCGACATAACCTATTAACGTTTCATTCACAGAGCATTTATTTATCTAATTTCACTCGTAAAAGTTGGACAAATTTTATTCTTTATTTTTTTTTCCTTGTTCTTGATTTTCCCTCTATTTTTAACCACAGAAATCTCTCTTTAAACATTCATTTGCATCAATGTGAATTTACGAATCATTCTACACAGAGGAGTTTCAAGTTGGGAAAACTTTGTCGCCACTTTCGCCACTCCAATTTCTCGCGCATCACGTGATTCAAGATGGAGTCGAAATGGATCGAGTCATAGTTCTCGTTTCCCCTCTTATCATTTATTTCCATCCACCGTCGAACCACCGTTTTTCCATCCGATCAGAATTTTTTATCCCCTCTCTTCTCTTCTCTTCTCTCTCTCTTTTCTTTTACACGTGATTTTTTTACCGCTTTCCAGTTTGCACCGAGTCGCAATTCAAATGCAGGAACGAGCAGTGCGTTGACGGGAGCGCACGGTGCAACGGCGTGAACGATTGTTTAGACTATTCTGACGAGTTAAATTGCCGTGAGTATCAACACAATTTTATACCTTTCTATACCGGCATGGATAATTATTCTCTTAATCCGTTTCGTTAAATTCATTTGTGTGTTCGTACGTAAAATTTGCTATTTTGTTGTCTGTCACTTGATATGTGTGTGTGCGTGTATGTATGCGTGCGTGAATACATACATGGCACGAATCGAGCAGTAACAGAAGAATTATTTGTCTCTAACGAGGAATTGTTTGTTTGGAAATTAATAATTATATTTGTTTTTATATATAACAGTTTTACGAGATGAGATTTTTTAAGACAATTCACATGGCTTGGCATGCATTTGAAAATAATTTGCCAATTATCATTGCTATTCGCCTTACAATGATTACTAAACGTAGCAGAGTTGTGGCAAGTTATCGCTTGAATGACTGGAACAATCATCATGTTCCTTTTGTTCTTGAATTTTTTACTCTGGATTTACCCTGTTCACATTCAGAAATGCGAATAGCGTGGTAGTGATGAGTACGAATCTCTCGTGTGTTCTCAAACAAATTAATATTTATTTAAAATCACTAGTCTAGCGACGAATTTAAACTGAAAAATGAAGAGAAAGATTTAAACATTTTCTGAAACAATATCAGTATTATTCCGTATTTATTTAGTACTCTGTATTTCAAATATCCTCAGATTTCTGTTCAAATTGATAGTTATTGCATATCAATCAATACATACTATTCTAATATTCAACACTCTACTCTTACATTTATATAAAAAACATTTACTCAAAACAATATTCAGTGAATTCTTATTAAGCTTTAAATGTTTCAATTCAATGTTGTCTTAAATCAAATTTCCAGTAATGATTACCAGTGTTACGTGCAAACAAAATTTCCTTAAACCTCTTTTTTAAATCCTCAACACTCCAACAACAATCAAAGATTCATTGGATTCAAAAATAAACTCCAATCATATCGTATATGTAATGCACGTGTAAATATCATAATATTTGTATTAAACAATTCATACAGAATCAAAATCACACCTAATCCCTTATTTAAACCTTCCTAGATTCTTATGAACTCCCTCAAACTTCGTAACGATCAAAGATTCATTAAATTCAAAAGTAAAATTCCACTTACAATCATTGTCATATGTATAAATACCATAATATTTATATCAGGCATTCAATTCAAGCAGAGTCAAAATCGCAATTAATTCTTATTTAAATCTTCTTACTCACTTCTCAGAACCCTTAAATTCTCTCCATCCTATCGCAATCACACTTCAAATCCAAATATATTCAAATTTATCCAAAAATCCAAAGATAATCAATAACACCACTTATTATTTAAAGACTCTCTTTACAACAGTTCACAAATTCTTTCACAAAAATTGAACTCTCTATCCTTGAATTTACATCATTTCTCGTCATTTCCATAATCGTTATCAATATTATCCAAAGCATGGCGGACAATTTACACGCGAAATCGAATAAAATCCGCGTGCACGAGCGATAAAGGGACGACAAAAGGCCAATTTTCTGATTACCATCATAGAATCCACAGCATCCAGTGGATCTCGCGCTATCTAATCGCGCAGGTATTGCAGGACGTGCCCTAATAAAATAATTGTGACGATATCTTGTTCAAAACATGACCGTGCAAAGAGAGTCATTTTCAGGCCATTGCACTCCTTCCTCTCTCTCTCTCTCTCCTCCTTTTTTGCGCCTACCAACCCTCTGTCTTCCCATCCCTTTTAACCCCTTATTATTTCCATCGTGTTTTGCGAAGGCACGCTCCTAGCTGCTGCACGTTTCATAGTTAACCCCTTAGCATAGCAAGATAACGGGTGCATGGTGGTATAACAAACAACACGAAACTATCATTGTTGAAAATGATTATCATTAGAATTTTCGTTGAAAACAATTATGGGCGTGTTAATTGTGCACAAATAAATAATACTTTTAAGCAATTTATTTGTAGAGGGAACGTTGAAAATGTATTTCGATTCTTGGAATAAACGCGAAAATTTCCACTTGAGCCTTGTTTACGATCGAGTCGCTATGTTAAATCGAGAAAAAGTTAGTAGAGAAATGTAATGAAGATAAACTTCGATTGCTTATAACAATCATGGATAAACCAATTTTTACGGTTGCTTCGAATCTTTTGGGATATTCAAACGAATAATATTCTGAAACGATAATTTTTTCGTGCGAATGCAATGATATATTTTTGCAGATTTTCGTTTTCTAAAAAAAGAAACGAGACGAGTTTGGATGAATTTGGATTAGAAATATATGTAGGGATTGGACAAAGAAGTGTTCAATTAATTTTGGACAGAGTTCGAAATTTTCTTCTTCACAAGTCTTTTCAAACGAATCTTGAAAAATTTGTTCGATCGTGAAAATTGGCTCGCATTTTGGAAAAATCGTGAACAAAACTACAAGGAAAAAACGAATTTCACGACATGGTGTGCCATCCAGGCTTACGTTACTTCTTCGCTATCAAAGCTGGATAGATGAATTGATTGAATAGTTTCATTTTAAAAAAAAGAGAGAGAGAGATTTACACGTTGCATTGAATTTTAGAAGAAAACAATCGAATTTGTGACTCGTTATAATAAACAATTTGTTTTTTCGTAATGGGACAATTGATAAAACGGAGAAGGACAAAATTATATTGAAGTTTTAAATTGCAGGGATAAAAGCAATAAAAGTAATACAACTCGCATATTTTCGAATAATTTTTCGAAAATAAATTGATGCGTGCAACAAATGTTACTCAACAATACACTTATTCACTTATTCTTCAACGAATTACTCGTTTGTTTTTACATGATTTTTGTAGATTAATGAAATTGGCCAATTTTTAAGATCCAATAATAAAACAAGATAAAAGCTAAAAATATCAAGTATCACTCGTCGATACGTTTACAAAAACAACACAACTCGTATATTTTCGAATGGTTTTTCGAAAAATTTCATTGATTACTTCATACTTGCAACAATGATTCAACACATAGGACGCAATAATAAAATCGCAAAATTAGCTAAGAATACATAATTGTGCGACTTCCAAATCACGAATATATATATATATATTAACAAGAGTGAAAAGATCAGTCTGATACGCAACGTTGGTGCGTTGTGGCAACACGTGAAGGGTCGAGACATGAATCAGAATTGGATTAAACCCGGTGAAAACGGATGAAATTCCAGGGCCGAGGCCGCGAAAGGGCCGGCAAGCTTCGCTGGAGATTAACGTCGGATTAAAATTGCAGCCGGTTATTAGGGCGGCTTAATAAACGCGAGTAAATCTCGTTCGGCCACGGGGGCTGCCTTAAATTTGGCTGTGGGGGCGTTGTCCGTTTTTGCGACGTCGATATTAACGCCGTTTAAATGACGTTTGTTGACGAATTACCAAAAAAAAAAAGAAAAAGGGGGAGGAGAGAGGGAAATATTAACAAGAAGAGAAAATAAATTGTCGAAAAATTGTAAACTGGTTATTTCATCCGTGAATCTTTTTTCAATAATTCTCGTTTTAGAAAGTTAATTTCCTTTTCTTTCAATTTTTGGGAATTGAGATTTTTTTTTTTTCTTTTTAAAGATATATGGATTGGCGTTCATTTATACTGTCAAAAATCGTAAATAGGTGTATAACAGTTTTATCTTTTCCTTTTCGAAAAAGAACAGTTTAGATTGATATCTAGCTAGTTTCGATCCTTTCCTTCTATTTTCGCGATTTCAAATTACTCTCGAAATATCCACCATATTTCCTCCCTCGTCCCAAAAACCGAAAATATACAAGATCTTCGATTCCCTTCTCGTAAGTGAAATTACATTATTCCACCCGTCAGAATAAATTACAATCAGATTCAACAACCATCGACTGCAACCGTTTGAGCACCGCCAAAAATATCGTGAAACATCGTTCTTTCGATCCCTAACCTCAAAAAGCCGAGAGCGAGGTTGGAAAGTTTCGCTCTGACTGCAAATGAAATCGTGAATTCGTGGTTGGAGAGTGAGAAAGAATCGTCGCGATCTTATCTATTAGTCCGATCGTTTCGTAGAACGAAGCCAGCCTTCTCGACGCCTGAGACACACAAACCTGAGAAAAAGAAGAGAGAGAGAGAGAGAGAAAAGAATTGTGCAGAATCTCCTTCTTCATAGATTCTCTTCCGAAAAGCCGAGTTCTCGTTTGGTGAGGCGTGTCACGCCGCACCTTTCCGCCCGTTTTCCAATTTGCGTGGTCGCAATATATTCGCTTTATATTCGTCGATCACCGCGGTTAGAGCGCGAGAAAGGGAGAGGCACGCACTTGGCAAATCGCGTTACAATCGTAACTGGATTTTCGCGCAGTCGCGACCTCACGTACCATTCGATTCGTTGCTTTCATGGAATCAAATTAATTTGGACTTGTGTCCATTTTTTCCCCCCTCCCTTCTTCTTCTTTTTCTCTCTCTTCTCTCTCTCTCTCTCTCTGTTCGTCCAATGAAGGAACGTGATTATCGAGGATTTATCGAGAATCGTGTTTCGACTCGCCCCGTCGAATATTGTTCGAACACGTTGTCCGTGGTATTTCGTGGCAATTTTTCCCCTACAATGCGTACAACGTATGCGTCGAGAGATTGATTTTCGTGGGGGAAGAAATCTGATTCGAGAGATTGATTCGAATCGAGCCGATATTAAGGCGAGAAGGGTGTATCTCGACGATTAAAATTAAAAGTCGAGAAAAGCACAAGTTTTGTACGATCTTAGAAATTGATGTTCCCGATTACGAACCTGTGTGTGCACCCTGTGTGTGCAAATTATCGTCGCAGGAAAGTTGGTCGATCGGACGACGACGATTATTATTTAAGAGATAATGGCAGAAAAACAGGCGATCGGCCGACCGATCCCATGGATTAAAAAATAAATTCAGATCCAGAACGGGTTAATGCGTTCCCCGGCGATCGCGTGTCCGCCATTTTTCGCGTGCAAAGGTGACGAGGACGGGGGAGGGGCAGGAGGGGGGCGTGTTGTAAACGTCGACGTTTAATGGAAACACGCGGGGACACGCTCGTAGCGTCGAGCTTCTGTGTAATTATTGCGCGCGTGAGAGAAAGACAGAGAGAGAGAGAGAGAGAGAGAGAGAGAGAGAGAGAGAGAGAGAGAGAGAG